TGTTACCATCGAAGCAGTACTATTCTTAAGCGCATTATCTATAGTTTTGAGAGTGTGAAGATGTGGCAAATAACGTTGTAAAAACGCATAATCGTATGCTTGAATATTCCTTGACAAAATCCTTTCTTAGGGATGGTGTGCGCACGCACAAACAAGAGAGAGAAGAAGCTCATGAAATAAAGAAATTTTGTCTAAAAAGCCTAAAAGCCAGCTCAATCTTGAGGCATCTAATTGGAACATCCCAAAGCCTCAGCTTGAAATTTGAGAGGATATCAGTCTCGGAGAAAGTTGCTTTTTGAGGCTAAGAGGGTTCGGCCGTTATTCGGAGGGTTATCTTTCATGCCGTCGAATGTACTTTCCTCCCTAATGATTTAGTGCTGCTCAATAAAAGCACAAGCAAAGTAGCGGTGATTCCAGAAAAAAAGAGATATATTCCGAATTTTTCAATTAAATGGCTTGTCCTTTTCCGTTTCTTGTTTTTACTATAAGCTCGTCATCGGTATCGTTTCGTTAAACCGTTGCTTGGATCAATACCGCAACTTGGTCCTAAATAAAGAGTAATACATGTGAACACAATAGGACTAAAATCTAGTAAGTATCATAGGATTTGTTGAGATTGTGCATTGGGTTTCTTATTGTAAAAGAACCCGAGCGCCTTCTCTTGATTGAATTTTTAGTAAGGTTTTTCTTCGCGCGCATTATCTATAACTTTTCGGCTACATTATCAACACAAGAATATTTGGATTACATTTTGCAATAAGGAACCACTATCTCCAGCTCTTCCACAAAAGCAACTGGGAAACCAATGGCTCATATGCTGTATCTAAAATGAGTCCGAAATAGTGGTTCCTTATTTCAAAATGTGGTCCATTCGTTCTTCGACCATTGAATTCCCGATAAATTATTGGAACGCAGTTTCGTAGAATATTTTCAAAAACAGATACAGCTTGCCGGTTTTTGAATTTTCACTCTTCTTGCTGCGATGCGTCAGGAAAAAAATTGGGGGAAAAAATAAATTTAAACACATTTTTAGAGAAAAATCGACTGACAATTATGCAGTACTTTCGTAATCTCCCAGGACGCTTGCTAGGTTTTGACCTTTCACTTTATATGTTGTAATGAGCTGAGAAGGAGGGAGGGGAGGGGTTAGGAAAAGCTTTTCTGAGCAGGGCACACTTTTCCAAATTGAAAATACATTAAAGTCTGTGATTGAGACCGGATCTGTGAGAAATCGCCTTTTCTTTCAAAAATTCCAGTCTGAATATTTGATAACACTGCAAACACAGGAGAATCTGGATTTTTGACGCAAGTTTGATCCAGATGAAGCCTAAAGACAGAGGGGAATATGAAGCTCCAAGACAAAAATTCTTAAGTTCCAGGCTAAATTTTCAGGTTGAAGTTGTATGTTTACAGGTAAAGAGTTCTGACATGCGCACAGAAAAAGAGCAGCTAGGCCCCTCTGCAATGAGAAAATTGAAATAAATCCGCTAGAGAGCGTTCCTCGTCGAGAATCTTGAAATCTCAAGTTTCGAAATTTTCACCTGAATTTGGCTCTTTGGGAAAGTTTCCTCCTGGAAAAGACCATTCCTCTTTCACGAACCCAGTCACAATTAGCGCAAAAAGAGGGCACAGATAGATTGCGTGCATCCGATTAACGACGAAAATAACAGCCGAGGTTAACTGAAAGAGTTAAATCGGGATGATCGTGGTGCGAGGAAAAGTGTAAAACAAGTGAAGGTATCATCTTAATTAAGAGCCGGCGACAACAAACACGTGTTAACTCCTTCGCAATTCCCGCCAAGAAAGCAGGGAGGCCTTTGTTCTGATGGAAAAAAAGGGAAATGGAAGGAGACGCGCAGCGGCCGAAGAGGCGCGGGGAGCAGGAGAAAGATAACACAAAAGCTTTGTCAAGTTTAATTGTATTAATTAAATCACCACCGTCTCGGTCGCCTGTTGCCGAGTCGCCGAAAAGTCGAGCTTCAACTCTTTCGTGCTAATGAAGAACGCCGTAAGTGCATTCAAGGACTCCTAAATTCACCCTGATGAAGTACGATTTTTTTAAGAAACTTGGGAATATTTTTTCGTGAATTTCTCAGGGAATCTCATTCGCACTTCGATCTACGTACCTGCAAATTTTCAGGGAAAAATCAAGATAACTCTCCGCGGAAATTCATATTTTATCGGTTGAAGTTCGGCGACGAGCGAATGTTCTTAGGGCGTTTCGCCTTAGCGCGGGAATATTTGCAGTAATAACTGGCGCAGTCGGCACCGCGGGTTTATTGCACGTCGCTCGGCGCATTGAGGCACGGCTCTGGATTATCATATTTAGACAAGCCGTCCTCTTCGTCGGAATAATTCCCGGCGACTTACGCGTGCCTCGTGCATTTCCTCCTTATTTTTCGCGATATTTATTCTCTTTGTTTCAATATTTAAAAATGCCGAGCGAGTGCCTCCGGAGCCCGGGCTGCGCCGCCTCGGTCCCGCTTCCCGGTGTCGGTGATGACCGCCGCTCCCGGATCGATAGACGGATTCTATTGCCATGCTAATTTCCTCGCCATGCTTGTGTCGGATTGCGAATCTAGCTCTCCCCGGAGCCCTCATCGAGAGGACTCTCATATACCGTGGTAACTAACTATGATAGGACAGCGTTAAGCAGAAAGGAACCAAGCCACGTCAGCTACGGAATCCGCACAATCGTTTTCTTGTGAAAAGTTGAATTGCCCAGTTGAATTTGGCAATAGCTCTTACATGCTCATGCTTACAATGCTCTTGCATTAAATTTGGATTATTAAGATTTTTATTTTTGACATTTTATTTTATTCTATTTATTTTTTATTAAAATTTTAAGTTAAGTTAAAACTAATAATTTTCAAAATTATAATTAAATATCCTAGTTTAAATTTTGGTTTGGTTCCTTTCTGCGAAACGCGGTTCAAATAAAAAACAACTTAATCAGCCAAAGTACATACTAAAATAACGACTTGATCTGGGAAAAGGCTGCACAACAATACAGAGGATAAAATTTTGAAAACAAACCGGAACGTTTCAAAAGCAATGACAATGGAGAATTTGCACAAAAATGATGTATTACTGTATCTGAGAGTGCTTGAGGAGCTGCGTGCTGCGTTCGCAGTATTTTTCATTTAGAGACCAAGCATATTCTCATGCTCAGTTTGCTCAGTAGTTTCTTCTTGAGCATGAAATTCACAAAATTTCAGACACCTGCCAATTCTCCATTTCATTTTCAATCTGAGAAAAAAGTAAGAAATTTAGTCGTCGATTTGCTGTTAGGTAATGACAGCGAATCGACGACTCCGCTTTTCGCCTTTTTTCGTGCGGTTGAAAATGAAATCGATTTATGTATGTATCTTGGGTATTGTTGTGCAGCCTTTCCCCAGATTAAGTCGTTATTTTTACTATGATAAATGGTCGTTGAAAAATTGCGTGCCCTGATCTATGAGTAGGGACCTTATTGCCCAAAAATTCAAATTTCAGTTATAATGTTACCACAGCGTAGAGAAAGAAAAGCTGGAAATGACTGCACAAGTTTGACCCTGAAAGCTCAAAATTGAGAGACAAATGACGTAGGTACTGAAGTTCCAAGACATGTCTCTTAGTTTTCAGGTTAAATTTAGACCAAGAATTCCTAAATGCACAGATAAAAGGAGCAGCTGGTGAGAAAATTAAACTGAAATCGTGCGAAGCTTTTTTCAGGGGCCGCTAGGTGTTTCCCGTTGAGAGCTTGAAATTGCAAAATTCGACATTTTTCTTTTTAAAAGGTCAGGAGCTTCACATACTCGGAATGACCCTATTCTCTTCAAGTCGATGCAGCATCAATTCCAAGGTACCTAAGCTTTAGAGACAAAGTCGCGAGTGAGAGTAAGAGTAGCGTATCGTGCTTAAGGTGAATCGATCGATCCGTGATTTAAAACTATAGAAAATAATCGATTATCAGGTCATATCTTTGTAACCAATTCTTTACCGAAGCTTTAAATGGGAAAATATCGATAGTTGATGCTTCACGCGTCGCCGCCGAAGAGCGATAATACAAAATCTGCATGAATCAAAAGCTGTTTACGTCCTCAAGTCGCGTGAATATTCATTCCGTCGGGTAACTATCGCTTGTGATGCTTATCGAGAGACTTAATTTACGTAAATCGTCGCTACTCTGTCCTAACGACGAGATTAAACTTTGGAGTGAGCCATGTCTTCGGTAAAGCTTCATGCTTTCTGGGGCTCGTGTAAAAGTGGTAATACGCCATTACGTCAGGAGAGCAACGAAATCTTAGTGTCGTGCCAAGACTTTCCGTTCCATGCTATCATGACTCTTATTAAAATTAACCAACGCGTTTGGATAGCTTTCATCGTCATTTATTCATTAAAAATATCACATTTTCAGTGTTGGGATGATTGGTCCGCAGCTAGGCAAGGAGACAAATTCTTAGAAAATCAGGTAAATTGGATACGTCAGAACAATTCTCAACCTTAAAGGATCAGGTAGAAGCCAGGGGGCTCTTCTGTCAAAACTTAAATTTTCTTTATCCGTTAAAATTTTTAATTGTCTCGGATCTCATACACGCACTCAATCGACATAGGTAGCTCAATTTTCGTACTACATATGGTCTCGCAGGAAATTTTTTTTTCAAACATTCGATTAATATAAATGCACACAGATCAATAGTAGATTCTAATTACTTTTGGCTTCACTCCTTCTTGAGGTTTTAGCAGACTTCCACCAAAAATCCATATCATTTGCACCGAGCAGATATTCAATCCCGCTTTAACTTGCAAGACCATACACCCGTAAATTACGATACTTTTTATGACGTCATTGAATTCCTATTCCATTCAGCTCAGTGATACTCTAAGGATAATCCAATTTAGCATCGCGTTAGCTCTCAAGCCTTACAAATACAGATGTTTAATGACCCAATCCTGGGCTAATAATTTGGCTTTGGATGGTCCATTGGGCTATTAGAAGTTTTTCTAATAAGACTTACCGTAGGATCTGGTTCTCCATGAACGAGACACACAAGCTCTGCTCTGTAACCCTCACCAGAATGAACCCAGCTCTTTTCAACCTCGATTTCGGGAGGATCTGAAACACCAAGAGATACATTGTATAATAAAATATAGACAGAAATAGTCAACAGAGGAGGTTAAGTACTTTAAATGCGCAAAAATGCGTGATTTCTGTCCAAAATCCTGCTAATTTGTGCACGTAGTCAGAAGAAAAATGGGTAAAATGTTCAGCCCAACAGTTCCCTAATAAAGAAAAAGCTCGCTAAGTCGAACTACGATAAAGAAGAAACGCCGAGAAAGTCGAATTTATTTTCGATTTAGCGAGCTTTCACTGTAACAATAAAAATTTGTAATGGAAATTTTACAACGCTGAAATTTAATTTCGTTCTTTCGACTGGGCAAGGACGAACCGAAGGATTTTACCTAAATCTCGGAGCATACTGCAAAATCGAAAACACAGTCCGTCGACGCGATCCGAGACCTTTAAAGCGGATTTTGGGTGATGTTGCCCCGGACAAAGCTCAAATTCGAGAAGATTGTGGACATCATAACGCTGTTCTTTACACAAAGGATAAACCTAACCGAAATAATACCAGAAGAGGAGGGAAAGATCCGGAGCGGAGATCAGTTCACTGATGGCTCTTATTAGCAAGCGGAATTCCGGAATTTCAATCAAGCCGGAGCATTGGCGATTAGCTCGGTCAAGCTCAGGTGGTCGCAATTTCATTAGCGACCCGGGGTCAGGAGGGGGAGGGGGAGGTCGGAGATTAAAGTTAAGGGCTGGGGTTTCGCGGAAGGAGGGCCGTGGGACCAGGGGACCGCAAACCGGCCTGTGGAAACGGAACAGGAAAAGCAGCGAGACCGTCTCGGCAGTCACGCAACATATTTTTATTCCTTAAGAAAATAAGAGGAGTCAAAGATGGCATTTAAAGGGAGACGTGATGAAAATGTTGAAAGTTTAATTAAACTTGCCGGATGAGGAGTTTTGCAGAAAAACACCGCAGCGACGCTGGGTCGCGGGGGTGAATGCATCTTTCAGGCGACCGACTTTATTTATATAACCCTCCGAGTCGTTGGGATGAGACATGTCTCATTTAAATTTCTCAGCCCTTCGATTTGGATCCGTGTCGAAAGGGTCCAAGACCCTGCGGAAAATTTTCCATTCCGCTTTTGAATGGCTTTGTGACTCATTTTTAAATAAAGCTAAATCGATAAAATGAATGTGTGCGATCAATATACATACTTACGGACATTCCATAGGGAATAAAAACAGCAATTGGTAAATTAAACTGCTGCCTAAATTGGGAATATGCAATCCGGTCCCGTTGTTTAACGTTTCTCCCGAATCTGCACGACACCTCCTTGGTAGCATAGAGCGGAACATTGCGAGTTCACGCCTCGCGCCATCGCGCCTTCAATTTTGCAGATGCAACACGGACATCCATCAAGCACGAATAGTTGTATCTCTGCGCCGTCATCAACACGCGATGAGATGTCGCTCATTTTTAAAATTTGAGGAATGCTAAGGTTAAGTTTGCTTAAAATATACTGGGATGTGTTCCACTTATTATCATTTTGGAAAAAAGTAAAGCAAAATATAAATAAAGAAAAACGGGAAAATATGTTTCGATATCTCTCGAGCGACGTCTAAAATTGGTATTTTGGCGAGAGTTCTGTTGAGTCAGGGACTTCATTTTTGAAGAATATCAAGAGACATCTTGCGCCGGGTCAAATCGACTCAACTAGATCTCCTCTGAGGGAGATACAAAAGTCTTGGGCATCTAAGGGTTAGAATTGAGAAAATTTGCAATTTTTTTTTTTTTTTTTTTCATATCTTGTATTTTTTGTAGTTGTATATCATTTTGATCCCTTTGAAGGGTCCATTTCCAAAGTTATACTCCTGACTTTCACTCAAAATTTACGAAATTTATTCTTCTAAAGATGCTATGCTATGATACGGATGTCCTTTGATCACAGTGGAAACCATACAGAACTTCCGAAGGAAAGGAGTTGTTTAAAGGAGAACTATAAATACGAACCTAAATCTGACAACGGCGATGGCTTCACCCGGCGCTTTAGTCAAACCAAACAGTTTAATTGGGTTAGCACGCGTATCGCGTATCGAGACTGAGTGAAGGCGTCAACGCGGAATCTGATAGCATATCCTCATACATGAGTGGCTCTCAGAGACCATGCCTCCAGATGGATCGCTCAGTGAAGCGCGATAGTCTTGACTAAATATTAGTACTTTCACTCTTGCGAGGTGCTGTCTGTCTGACTCCTCATCATCATCCTAGCTGGTTGATTTCAGATCTCCTCCAAACGCTCATGTCTCAGACTGATGTGGGAAAAACTTGGGCTATAATTTCGTTGATATCGCAAGACGCTAAAATTATTACAAATATAGATGATTTCACGCTACAAAGTAACGATCCCTTTGATAGGATCTTGTTCCGTACATTTGACCCTCTGCAAATGTGCTCAAGGGCATCCACGAGGCTATTTTTGTATTGTAATGATGGTCTAATCTGTCATGCTAAGGAAGAAGGCCGTTTATGAACTTTGACAGTTGCCAAAATTCCCCTGATAAAATATAAATTGTTTAAGGATGGATGTTTATATTTTTCTATAACATTTTCAGATATTTTAGCATAAATTAGAGACTAAATTCTCTAAAAATTTTGAAAGAAAGTATTTAAAATGTTCCCAGTACATTCGTTTTCCATTAAAGGAAATATGGCGACGTCTCAAGGCTCATACGACGTTCTTCTCTAGCATGCCGGTACTGTGCAGGATTTCCCGTATAGAATCATTCCATACTCTGCCTCCTTGCAACTGAATACAACCGCTATTTCCCGCTGATAGATACTATGTGTGAAGAGGCCCAATATAAATATGACAAAGGCTTGCTTAACGCCGCCCACATCGGAGTTCGTATCTCAACGTTGCACTTAGCTTTAACTCGAATGAGATTTTCAGTTGCGACGTAGGGGCGGATTTTTCGGCAAATTATAGAGACCCTCGATAGCAGATTTTGAGCGGGAAGACCTGAGAATCTGGAGCTTTGCGAGGAGTTGCTGTACGTGATGAGATTAGGCTCGGAACGAAAGTCGAAAGGGGGGGGGGTCCGGGGTCTGGAGAATTTTGGTCGCCAACAATCGCATAGTTGGCGGAGCGAGTGGAACGGTTATGCCGGCAGCTCAAAAGACCTTCTTTTGTCGTCTTTTGATGTTTAAAGAAGAAATAATTTGAAGTATTTTGAATCGGATGCTGTTTCCGAGATGCATGCGCGTGCTCTTTCCAACGAAACGTGCAAGTGTCTTGAGCGGGTAATTGGGGAGAAGAGCTAGGTTTCGTCATGGCGTTGCCGAACTTTCTAAATTCAACGCGAAATGTAAGTTTCCCAGTCAAGAATATCAATTTGTCTCTTCTTTTTTCGGTAGTTATCACAGCCGATACGTTTTTGGGAACTCGTTTCAGTGATCAGAGGAATGTGTATTTATCTGCACACTCTTCACAAGGTCTCAGGCCTGGGTCCGACATCATGGGAGAATGCAATAGTGTAATTTCCTCGGAAAATACGCTGAAAAATACGAGTTAGATAACGAAAAAAGAGGGGAGAGAAACATGCGTTTGATTGAAATGTGAAGCGTCATTCGATTCATCTTCGATGAAGCTCTCATATTGAGTCTTTTTCGAGCACTGGAGAAAAAAACACATTGAATCTAGAGTCCAGACTCTTAAAAACATCGACAAGAAAAAATACTCTTGATTCAATCAGATTTAAGCTTGAATCAAGAACCAAGCCTCTCAATTCGAGCGGATTGCCTTTTGATTTAAGCTTAAATCTGCTTGAATCAAGAGTCCTTTTTCTTTTCAGTGTTTTCAAGAGTCTGGACTCCAGATCCAATGTGTTTTTTTTTCTCCAGTGTGTCCGTTCGCTTCAATTTTTACTACTAGATTCAACTCCCCGCGAGAAATGTGAAACGCGTTCGCATCAATCCGGCTACCTTTCGTTCCTCGGTTTCATTTCACGGAAACAACACCGTGAACGAGAAAATCCGAGTCGCCAATTGTTGACTATAATTTCCTCCTCTTCCATTGGATCCCTCGTGAAATTCAGGAAGGCCCTTGGAAATCTGACAACACCGAGGCAGGTAAGCGCCGGAAGAAAAGTCGACGGCGGCGGATTGTTAGGGTGGTGGATAAATCTATGACTCAACATTTCTGGAGACCTCTCTCAGCTCAGAACAGAGTTGCTGTTCACGGCATCGCGCTCTCATTTTTTCATAACTGTCCATGTTAGAATGTTAGATGGATGAGTTAAAACGGAAAAAAAGGCAACCGGGAAGGCGGGTTAAGGCTGCAAATGTCTCTGACTATGACTGTCATGCTCGTTGCATCGCGACTCCGTCTGCTGCTCGGTTCGGAGAATAAATCAGCTCGACCCTACGCCAAATCTGCCGTGCTTAGGAAAAACGCCCTATGAGCCATCAGACGTTGCCAAATTTCCCGCGATAAATACCGAATTTTCGGGGAAAATTGTGAATATTTTTCCCCAAAATTTTCAGACAATTTTGTACGCAGTTTAATCTAAATTGCCTGAAAATTTCGAGGAAAAATACGCATACTCGTTCTCAAAAATACATGTTTTATCTGAGACAATTTGGCAACTCTCGAATGTTCATACGGCGTGTTTCCATAGCACGCCAGAGATGTCGGTCTCACGCGTTCGTGAGGTTGCGAGGATCCGCCAACTTGCCGATGAAGGGATGAAAAAACTGCATATCTTCAAGGAGGTTGCTCAGTATTATTTTTTAATTATTGCATTTTTGAAAAGTAGAAAAAGCACATGGTTCACCGAAATTCTTCAGATTTTCTTTTAAATATTTACCCACAAAAAATAGTTTAAAAGTTGCGTATATTGACCTCTGATTAAAAATCATATCGCCGAGGAAGCTTATGGCTTCCGATAAGATCCCCCTGGCGACAGTCACACGTTCTACGGAGCGTTCCCTATGACGCTGCTCATGGTCTTTCATTAATTTGAGTCACATCGGCAATACTGCAGTACTA